TTCTAAGCGGTATGTGTGGAGAAAACCAGGCACTGCTCATCACTTGTCCAATACAGTCCCAACAGTGAATCATGGTGGTGGCAGCATCATGCTGTGGGGGTGTTTTTCAGCTGCAGGGACAGGGCGACTGGTTGCAATCGAGGGAAAGATGAATGCGGCCAAGTACAGGGATATCCTGGACGAAAACCTTCTCCAGAGTGCTCAGGACCTCAGACTGGGCCGAAGGTTTACCTTCCAACAAGACAATGACCCTAAGCACACAGCTAAAATAACGAAGGAGTGGCTTCACAACAACTCTGTGACTGTTCTTGAATTGCCCAGCCAGAGCCCTGACTTAAACCCAATTGAGCATCTCTGGAGAGACCTAAAAATGGCTGTCCACCAACGTTTACCATCCAACCTGACAGAACTGGAGAGGATCTGCAAGGAGGAATGGCAGAGGATCCCCAAATCCAGGTGTGAAAAACTTGTTGCATCTTTCCCAAAAAGACTCATGGCTGTATTAGATCAAAAGGGTGCTTCTACTAAATACTGAGCAAAGGGTCTGAATACTTAGGACCATGTGATATTTCAGTTGTTCTTTTTTAATAAATCTGCAAAAATGTCAACGATTCTGTGTTTTTCTGTCAATATGGGGTGCTGTGTGTACATTAATGAGGAAAAAAAATTAACTTAAATGATTTTAGCAAATGGCTGCAATATAACAAAGAGTGAAAAATTGAAGGGGGTCTGAATACTTTCCGTACCCACTGTATACTCTTAAAACTTCCTGTGTGTGTATGTATAATGCATTATAAAGGTATTCATAATGTACGTTGTAATGCATTATATCTGTTCATAATAATTGTAACCAAAGTTGAAATGCATTATAATATTAGGTTTGTTTGTCATTTGTTGCATTATACTTTCTTAAGACTTTCTAATGTATTATAACTGCGGTTACAAATATTCATGAGAGCATACAATGCAGTATAAGGTGAATTAAAAGCCATAATTATTGCGTTAAACTACTTTTGTAATGCATTATATATAAAGGCTTTAAGTAAAGTGTTACCAAGCTTTCAAGCAAGCCGTGCTATTATGGACGTAATGGATTTTTTTTTTTATTATGTGGTATTTAAATAATTCTGTCTCAGATATTTCTCCTCAAATTCCATAGGAAAATTAGGAACAGACACAAATGAGTCAATAGTTGGAAAAAGTAATTGCAAAGAGCTAAATTTCTGTAAATAGCAGCTTAAATAATTTGGTCTTAAAAGAATTTGATGAGAAATTAGTTCATATAATTTTAATAATTAATTATGAAAATAAATAATATATTCTTATTTTATTTGAACAAATATAATTAAATTTATATATAATGTAGAATAATTACAATCATTATATAATTTTATTGCATATATTTATTTTATATTTATTTCTTTTATTTTTAATTTTTAAATTTATTTAATTTTAATGTAATATTTAATTTAATGTATTATATTTAATTTATTATAATTATTTTATTATATATTATATAACTAACAAGTAAATTATTGAGATTTCCAGAGTTTATTGGACCTTCTGAAATCTGGGAGGTATGAAAGTCTACAGATGCTGTATAGGAGAAACAACAGAGATCTCATTTGTAATGGCAGGATCCATACGCTGGTCTTTTGAGCAGGTTTCTGCTCCCATCTCCCCTCTTCTCATTCAGTTCTCCCTCTGTCTCACCTGTTTTGTCAGAGTTGCAGAGCAGCGTTTCTTTCTCGGCTCTCTGTCCTGGACTCGGGCCGTGCTTCATCCATGTGGTTATGGTGAACTGATGGGTTAGATTCTGTGGGACGACCCAGTCTGGGATCTTGGCAGCTTGACGACCATCAAATCGGTATGTGAGGTCACTGTCCCGGCCACCATCCGTCACAAGAGTCACCGTCCAATTAAAAACACTGCTGGAGGCCGGCAGAAGATCTGTGCTGCCTGATGAAGCTCCTGGTATGTTGCCAGTGAGTTTAGAGATAAAATGATCATTTGAAACACAGATCACAGTTGAGGAAGTTTAAATGGACTTTGACTTTGAAGTCCAAATGAAAAGCCTTACAGATTTGGATATTTATTCATACGTACAGAATTTCTAATAATAGGGTTATTAAAATGTTTAAAATAGACATTGCACGTAATGATGGATTGATGCGTCATACAAATTTTATGTAATATATACCTTTGTATATACTAAAAATTAATTTATTAGTATTTATATATATTATATATAAATATTTTTAAATATTTATTGAATTTAATGTTTTATGGTATAAATATAGATATGTTTTTAAAATGTTTTTGTTTTTATAGACATCTTTTTAAA